AATATTCAATCTTGATTTGTATTTTTAAGCTCACCTTGCTATCCTTGGGGGTTTTAGGTGCATCCCATTTTTCTGCATTGACATCTGTGTCATTCCACTCCGGCCAGAGAGAAATGAGACTCTTTTTTGACTCTACAGGACTTTCTGATGCACCAACCAACGATGATGCTCTAAAGACAATGCAGGATTTGTAGTATAATCAGGTAATGCTACTGTATATAGCGTTCAGAATGCCTTGTTATTAGCAACACCAGAGGCAGTTAAGTGAACTGTAGCCAGTTATTTATTACTCACAATTGTGCACTTAAGTGACTGTGTCCACAAACTTAGAATTTAGCGTACTACACTTGAGTTAGAACTTTCTCTATGAATCAATAATGTTCCACATAGCATGAGTATGATTAGCATTAATTAAACCAAATACTGTTAAATCCTTTCTTACTGTCTTTCCTAAATCATTTCTTGTGGTTAATAGAATAGTAAAGTGACCCTTTAATCCATAATTGGTAGTAATAATAATAATAATAATAATAATAATAATAATAATAATAACAACAATTATAATAATAATTCCTTGCATTTACATAGAACTTTTCTGGACACTCAAAGCTCTTTACACATTTTTGGGTGAAACTCCTCATCCACCACCAGTGTGCAGCATCCACCTGGATGACACGACCGCGACAGCAGCCATATTGCACCAGATGGCACACCACACACCAGCTGATTGGTAAATAGAAGACAGATAAAGCCAATTGTGGTATGGGGATTGTTAGGGGGCCATGATGGACAGAGGCCAATGGGTTAAACATACGGAACAAAATCAATGCCAAAAGTATTGAAACAAAAAGCTTGTTAAATAGCTCACTGAAAAAATAATACACTGAATTAACAACTGCTTGCATTTTCATGAGATCACACTTAGCTGATGATTGATTATAAAGCTTGTTTTGCATGCCCTGTGCTCATAAGGTCCTTGAGCCTGGGGCTCCCACCCATTTGCAAGGCGAGTGGCGAGTTTGAGCTCAGGTAAATCTCGTGAACTCCCCTGATGTAGTAGCTAATAAACAGATAGTGATTATTCTTAAGAGAAACTTACTAAGAGCATGTTTATGGTGCAGATTTGGATTAGTCAATGAACTTAAATTGCATGTTTTTGGACGGTGGGAGGAAACCGGGGAACCCAGGGGAAATCCACGTGAGCACAGGGAGAACGTGTAACCTCCGCACAGAAACGTCAGTTGGGTTGGTAAGGACCAGAACCAGGGATGTTCTTGCTGTGAGGCAACAGTGCTAACCACTGGGCAAACTTCACATATTGACTTGAACTGCCAGGGTTTGTCATTTAGGTCCTTGAATTTCACCAGCTGTTTATTTAAGCAGTCAATATTTCAAATCAAAACACAATTTCATACTTAAATTCAATACTTCATATTCAACTTTCATATTTCACTTCTAAAATATTAAGTTCTGTTTAAAAATGCAAAGTATAATATAAAAAAATGCAATTTTCAGTTCGTTTTATTTCAATTCAACAATTACAACATTAAATCCGGAAACTGCAGGAAAAGCAATAGATTGCAGATATCTTAGGAGGTTGTGGAGGGTCTGTTTTCTCAAAACCAGTGCTTTACACATTCACAGTGAAAAAAAGTGATATCTAAAAATGCTAACATGTAGCCCCTTTAAAATGGACAAGTATCGATTTAATTATTATTACTGCTAAGAAAGCATTCATATTGACATGTAATTGGTCTTTCAACATTTTAGAAATAAAAATTGATTTGTATGCATTTATTTTTAATTTATAGTATATAGCAGATTCACAATTTGCCCAAAAAAAAATAGATTTCAAAATTTACAATATTTTGTAGCCTTCCAAACACTGCAAGGGATGTAAACAAAAACAATGGTCCCAGGGTATTTCCTGTTTTATACTTTTCATTTCTACAGCTTCCGAGAATCCAAAATGAGCCACAAATAAATAATGCTATGATAGCCGTTTTAATATGAAGTTATGATTGAACTGTCTTGTTACAGTAATTAAATAGTTTGATAACAAGCAGGAAATTTCCATGGGCCAATGACATGCCCAAATTAAAATGGTTTGAATTTAACGCACAATGATTTGATAGTATAAAAACATAGATTAAAACAATTTAGTAAAATATGATATAATAGCTAAACGCTAAATAACTAATGAAAGCAGTAATACACCGAATAAAATTAAGGCACTCACTTAAGCGGATAGGAAATTTTAATAAATCAACTAATTTTGTCAAAATCAAAAAGTATCAAATCCATAGATTATTATTTAGGTAAAACAACATTGACGAGCCCAAAAACAAATACATTAAAGTTTTAAGGTGAAATAAAGGATTTGTTATTTACACAGTGAGTGATTTATTTACATTGTGGAAATATGTCAAGGCCATCAACACGCCAAGGATGAATTAACGAATAGTCAGCTAAATCTTACTCTTTTTTGGGAGAGTGTCCGGGCGAAGAAGCGACGAGGCTGGAGGCGGACGCCTTTTTCTTGGGTGTCTTCGACATTGCAAGCGTATGTAGGTCTTATTTCTTATTCTAAGAGTTCATGATCTGAAGGAACACTTGGCTGATTAAAGCACAAAAGATAATGATGAATAGGAAGCGATGCCCAGGGTGACACTCAGTCAGCAAGGAAAGTTTGCTATGTTGCTAGGCGACAGGCCCGCTCGGGATTGCCGACAGCTCGAGCGCAGCTCAGAGCTTTATTACCTCCTCGTGCCAATGAACTCCTCCTGACCTGCTCAAACAAACCCCTGAGTCTATTCTCTGGTGTTTGGCGATGGGAATTGGGAACAGACTCGTTTTTCAAACAGTTCAGTTCAGAGAATCGATTCCAAAATAACTGAATCACTTACCCTTTAACTCATCGCGTTATTGCGTCATCACGCACCACCTGTCAGTTCCACCTTTTACAGGTATTTCTGTCGAGCTTTTAAAAATAGGGTTAGGGTTCAAATAAATTTGCTTAAAATGCTTAAAACTAAATTGTATTATCAAACATTTAATGAGAAGAATATGTTTTAACAGAAGTTACTCCTGTATAGTCAACGAAAACCATCATGGGGCAGGCCTAAAGAAAAAAAAGTGGCCATTTTCTCCCCATGCAGTGTTTCTTTGATTCAAATGATGACAATGTTTTGTAAAGCTTTTTTTACTTTAAACAGCCTACTCAATATGAGTTAGAATTCATTGGTTCATTCATTTTCTTTTCGACTTAGTCCCTTTATAAATTTGGGGTCGCCACAGCGGAATGAACCGCCAACTTATCCAGCATACGTTTTTATGCAGCGGATGCCCTTCCTCTCAGCTACATCTCTGGGAAATATCCATACACACTTATACACTACGGAAAATTTACCCTACCCAATTCACCTGTACCACATGTCTTTGGACTGTGGGGGAAACCGGAGCACCTGGAGGAAAAACTCGTGAACACTGGGCGAACATGCAAACTCCACACAGAAACGTCAACTGACCCAGCCGAGGCACGAACCAAGGACCTTGTTGCTGTGAGGCTACAGCATTACCTACTGCACCACTGCGTCATCTGAGTTAGAGTTGTTCAGTATAAATTTATCAGTGTAGTTATCTAGGTTCCTGGGCACTACCATATCTTAGGACCTGAAGTGGGGTGCTTACATTGACTCTATTGTCAAAAAAGTTCAACAAAGGCTGTAACTCCTTCGTCAGCAGAGGAAGTTCAACCTTCCAAAGGAGCTGCTAAAACAGTCCTCCACTTGAATCAGTCTGCACTTTAATAACTCTCTGGTTTAGCTCAGCTACCAAATCCGACCTCCGAAGACTACGTTAAATAGTTCAAACTGCTAAGTGAATCAGTGGTAGCCTACATCCCTCCCTACTCACTAAAAAATGTACTTATCCAGAGCGAGCAGAAAGGCTGCCAAAATCACCCTGGACCCCTCACACCCAGCACACTGCCTCTCTGAACTTTTACCTTCTGGTCAATGCTACAGAGCACTGCGCACCAGAACAGCCCAACACAGAAAAAGTTTCTTTTCACAGGCAATCCATCTCATGAACACTTGAAGATAGTAATTGTGAAACAAACATCACTACTTGCTATACAATTTAAATACACATATACACTTATTTATTTGACAACGTACTTTACATGCCAATTTGCACATAACAGCTGCACATATCACGTTGTATATAGTGATATACCTGTACATATACTTGTCAATTTGTACATTTGCATTCATCACTTACTTGTATTTTTAAAAAGTATATATTAATCTGTCTCTGTCATTCTGTTGAACTGTAGAAGCTCTGTCACAAAAACAATTTCCACTTATGTGTGAATATACCTGGCAATAAACAAGCAGCCAAACTGAGTTTTCTTCGCAGGATGTCAGGGCGCACCCTTATGGATAGGGTGAGAAGCTCTGTCACACGGGAGGAACTCAGAGTAGAGCTGCTGCTCCTCCACATCGAGAGAAGTCAGCTGAGGTGGCTCGGGCATCTGTTTCAGATGCCTACCTAAGGAGGTGTTCCAGGCATTTTCCACCGTGAGGAGGCCTTTGGGGAAGACCCAGGACATGCTGGAGGGATTATGTCTCTCGGCTGGCCTTGGAACAAATCAGGATCCTCCTGGAGAAGCTAGTAGAAGTCTCTGGGGAGAGAGAAGTCTGGAGTTCTCTCCAAAGACTGCTGCCCCCACGACCCAGCCCCGGAAAATCGGTTAAAAATGAATGAATGAATGAATGAATGAATGAATGAATGATTGAATTAAAGCATCTTAACGGAGTACATTTTATTACCTCATTGGTTCACAAGCTGCCAATCAACTGCAGAGTTGGTGCTCTGATGCTTTCTTTTTTAAACAGTTTTTTGACATCTTCATCACATTGTTATTATAATCATACTTTTGTGATTTAATTTAACATTTTAAGGCACATTCTCTCACATATTCATTGAAAAACTCATCACCACTTTAAAACATTTTATTGTCATTGTTACTTCAACAGACATTTGTTTGCAAACTTGATAAATTTGATCATCCAGCATGTTAAAAAGGTATATCTGCCTTTGTTGTAGAATAAAGCCATGGATCGAGCACATGCTCAGATCCCTCCTTCAGTACCAATTAAAAAACTATTTATAAACACTTGAATATTAACATTTACGAGCCTGAGGAAACCCAACATGATTTTATTCTCTGAACCAGATATTTACAAGCTTATAGCCCAATATTCTTACAGATCTCTTATTAAACTTTCTTTTTCCTCATGATAAAATTTGTACACTTCAAGACCTTCAAGACTAGTCATGGTTGGATCTTCACAACAGACTAAATGCCCTGGGAATACAGACTATTTTGTCATAAAGTGACATCTTGAGAACTTTTTTTTTTCCTGCAAAATTTAGGGTGGCAATTCCCAGCAGCGAACGCAAATAGTCCAGAATATATTAAAACAGCTCACCCTATTTAATCTAATTTTGGCTAAGAACTTCTACTGGTATTTACCTGGTCCTATGACACCCATTTTGTATCATTCATTCATATGTACACGTACACATTGAAGTAACTTGCTTGTCACACACATACACACACACACAAAAGCGACAAATGTGGAACAGGGCCAGAGAAAAAGAGATAAACAGTCAAACACAGCAATAGAAATTTGTTTTCATCTGATCCTCCAGCAGTGATGTCGTCTTGCCATTTAGAGCCCAAACTGATACGTATCTGTCAACCCCTGAATATGTTAGTGATCCATGGGTTTGATCTGTTGAATTTGTTGAGCTCGCTTTCTGGCCTCCTGCCTGCTTTCCGTGGCAAATGATGGGACACACGTGAGCGTCCGCACTAGCAGCAACCTGACTTGCTCTCAGCAGGAGCAGTTTGTTGGTCTAGTTTAATCTTGTCACCATTGTTCTCTTCGTACGGAAGACCTTTATCATTGAGAAGGATGTTCTCCACCAAGAACCGGGCAGCCTCGTCCACGTTGATGTTCTCCTGCAGTGAACAGAGTCAAATGTTAAAGGGATAGGTCATGTAAAAATAATTCCTCACACTAGCTATGTTTCCATGAACCTATTTTTATGTGCATTTTGGAGATGGAAATGGCAACATGTGCATCAATTTTGAAAACGTGCACAAAAAACGTATTCGCATAACAGAGTAGAATAAGCTTTTTATCCAGTAAGAAAAGATACGCATAAACTACGATAAACACTTTTACTGAACAAATTCCAGTATGCGCATAAAAAAAGAGATGTTATTTTGTTTTAAAAGATCATAGGATGATGAAAATGTGCGTGAATGTGCTCAACCTGCTGGTTTGTCCACTGTAAACATCTGAAATATTGTTTTGGTCATTCTGAAACACCTTAACCATTTCAGTATTAGTGTTATTATATTATTATTTACCTCGAGAATTGTTAAGAGCATCTCACGTCTTCAAATGCTACCACGTGTTTATTGCATGTTGGCATTATCTTCTGGGGTGAAAGTAATTTATTGAAAAAATTTTACACAGCTTCTCTTACCATTACATTTTTACTTTTGATATTTGGCGCCAGTTAATCAGGAAGTGACGATTTTGTTCTCTTTGACTCGTTAGATGGAACCGCTGCTTTCTTCACACGCCTTTTATGCGATATTCCAGTTTTCCGAACAAGTTTAATTTGCATCTTTGGATGGAAACATAGCTACTGTTTCAAATCTGTATGACTTCTTTTTCCTATAGAGCACAAAATTATTTTAAGATTCTAAAACAATGACAATAAAAAAACAGTTACTTCCAAATATGTTTTGTCTTTTTAATTGGTTTAAAAAATGAAGTATTTTTCAGACTCAAACTCAATTTTATAAGACAGGAAAGTTTTTAAAATGTTTTTAAGACATTTTAAGGTCAAAACTGTTAGCCCCTTTAAGCTATATTTTTTATTCAATAGTCTACAGAACAAACCATCATTCTACAATAACTTGCCTAATTGCCCTAACATGCATATACCTAATTAAGACTTTAAATGTCACTTTAAGCTGTCTTGAATAATATCCACTAAAATATTATTTACTGTCATCATGGTAAAGATAAAATACATATATATATATATATATATATATATATATATATATATATATATATACATATATATATATACACATATACACACACATAATCAAAGAATTGAATCAAAACAACAGTAAAACAACAGTGACACTACTTCATAGTATTACTGTCTGTACTGTATTTTGGTTAAAATAAATCTTGCATTATATTTCCAAAGCCTTATTCAAAATGCCTTCTTTTGTGTTCTGTAAATACAGGTTTTTAACATACTCGACACTGAAACAATTCCACAAAATTTAGATAATTTACCAAACGATCAAAAGCCATTTTGTGAAGTTAAATTGAGTGTGTGGGGAAGCTTTAAGAGGCACTTGAGCAAAAAGCTGGACTGATGGCGTCCGCCTACACGACTCTTCATCACTCTTTCCAGACAATCCACTTTCCATTTACTTCCCTTTATCCTTAAGCAGTCTGTGGCTTCAAAGCGAGAGCGTGTGAATGAGTGTGAATTGAGGGAAAGGGCAGAAAACAGAAAGGTTAAGCAAAAGCCAACCATCCATGCTTGTCATTCACCCAAAGTGCAATATTCCTCACAGTACTGCAGAAAGACAGCAGTATTGAGGGAGGGAAATACAGGAAAATTAAAAATGCAAATGAATGGCACCATGGAACACTATTTGCTTGAAGGGAGCTGTGTAAATAACTTGAAATTTCAAGCTAGTTATGAACATTTTACGACCGCTTTGAAGCATGATTTTTGAAAAGTGGACTGCATGCTTGCTTATTTTAGAGGGCAGTGACCTGTTGTGACCTCTTTTGTGTGAACGTTGATTGAAATTATTAACATTTTCGAGATTTGTATGGGCCATTGAGAGGTTTGTTTGAACTGTGTCCAGAGACATGCTGTGAAATTATGATGATGATAATCAATTAAAACTAAAGAGCTCACTGAAGCACTGCATTTGTTTGCGACACACAACAGTAAAACAAAAGGTTGTGTTTTTTTTCCAGTTTAAATATCTAAATGATTTAAAATAAAATAAAAATCTAAGTAAAATGTAAGTTTATTTTACACTTGTCCACATTGTTTTTTTTATCTATATTGTCTACATTGATCATTTATATTCTTAGTTTTGTTTGTAATTAAATTAAATGTAAATGAAACTATTGAGACTAAATATAAGACCTTGGACCACAAAACCTATAATAACTAGCATATACACTCACCGGCCACTTTATTAGGTACAACTTACTAGTACTGGGTTAGACCCCCTTTTGCCTTCAAAACTGCCTTAATCCTTCATGGCATAGATTCAACAAAGTACTAGAAATATTCCTCAGAGATGTTGGTCCATATTGACATGATAGCATCACACAGTTGCTGCAGATTTGTCAGCTGCACATCCATGATGCAAATCTCCTGTTCCACCACATCCCAAAGGTGCTCTATTGGGTTGAGATTTGGTGACTGTGGAGGCCATTTGAGTACAGTGAAGTCCTTTTCATGTTCAAGAAACCAGGTGTTTCATGCTTTATGACATGGCACGTTATTCTGTCGGAAGTAGCCGTCAGAAGATGGGTACACTTTGGTCACAAAGGGTTGAACATAGTCAGCAACAATACTCGGGTAGATTGTGTTGTTGACACAATGTTCAATTGGTTCTAATGGGCCAAGAAAATATCCCTCACAAATATCGTCTTGACCATGTCTACATGCCTAAATGTAAACTGAGTTGTTGCCATGTGATTGGCTGATTAGAAATTTGCATTAACAAGCAGTTGGACCGTTGTACCTAATAAAGTGGCCAGTGAGTGTATGTGTAGTAGGAAATCCATGTAACTTGATTGTTACTTAATACAAAAGAAAAATCTATATCGTTTTACTCCTGCAATGTAGTTTTGCCTTTTGCCAAGATATACCAACGCAAAATGAGACTGGTTTTATCATCCAGGGTCATGCGTTTATATTGAAACTTTTTTTTTTAAATATAATATAACCCTATGGAAACCTTTTTGTTTGCCTCAGGATGAACTAAAGTAATTTCCACTTACATAATTGCTGTGTCTCCCAACCTTTGCCTCTTGCAGTCTGCCTGTATTTCTGCCAATTTATATCATATTATTATAACATATCTCACATTTATTTTATATTTATTTCTATTGAATGGCATTAATTCACTGATTCCTCTCTTATCCACAACTATAGTTTTCATAAATATTTGTTCATTCAAGTGTCATTTTGTTCAGAAAAGAGAGACAAAAGGTGCAAAAACAAAATACTGAACAATAAAACCAAAATAAATCTCTTTCTGCCAGTCAAAAAAGAGACTTGCCTGAACATAAGGAGGTCCTGACAGATGAGAGCAGGCATACAGTTTTCACCATACATGCACGTGCACGCACATACACACACACACACACACACACACACACACACACACGAACACACAAACACACATTTACACACGACAGGTGCCAGAGCTTCCTGCCAGACATCTGTGTGCTTGAGTCCCTAATGGAGAGATCTATTTCAGAAACATGTGCTTACGCAGACTGACTGATGAGACACCTTCTGTTAAACTGCGCAGACCAGACACAAAGTGAACAAACACTTTAAATAGCAAGACGCACTCAAGATATTTAAGGCCAAAACGTTGCAACTTAGATATGCATTCCAAGGGCTACAATTTAACAGGGCGTTAAATACCTACACAAATCACATGCTACTCAAGTCAATGTATTCGCCAGAATTAACAAAAAAAAAACAGACACTTCCTTCTCCTCCTCCTCCTCCTCCTCCTCTTTTTTCTTCATTCTCTCTCCACAGACTATTTCCATCAAGGCAACTTAATTTAACCAGATCCATCCAGCATGCTTTAGACACATGTGCAGGGGAAGAGAGAAGACTAATGTGCAAAATATATCAAAGAAAACGCTGATGTAAGACTATAAACAAGCACCTTTATTCTTGCAGTGTTTTTAAGATTAAGCTGGTACTGTAAAAGATGGGACTAATTACCTTGATCAGGAATGACAATCATTTGTAGTAATAACTACTGTATCTGGAGATCAACATGCAGGAACACAGGCACTAAGAATAAACATTTTATTTAGAATAAACTGTATATTGAATATAGTAATTATGCAAATACTTCATATATATATAAGAATATATAAGATTGTGATCTCAATTCAAACCCACGCAACATGAATGATAAATGATAATGATCTACATATGCTTATTAATCCTTCAAAGCACTGCATTCAATGGTAATGTAGCGCTGATGTTTATGGAAAAGATACAAATTACTGTTTAATGGAACTTAACGCTGGTGAATGTTGTAGCAATTACATTGCATAACCAATGGGTGGTGACAAACAACCATCAAAAATGTCACTGAATAGGTTTTCAAAAATTATACTATAATGAAACATGAAGTTATATATGTGAATTGTTGATCATTAATTGAAAATAAATCTGATGTGTTGTACAAGATGTTAGCATTATCAACAACAGTAGCAAAGATCATTATTCATATTGAATATTTTCTTTTTTTAGCTGGTTCTTTCTTGATTTTTATTTTCATTAAAATTACGTTAAAATAAAAAAGTTATGTTTGTTAAAAACCAATGATTTTTGCAGTTATATTTTTGTATAAATAGAAAGCAAATGGTCTGTAACGTGACTCAAAAACCATAGCATGATCTAAACCATGAGATTTGTGAGATTTATTAGCCCTCCTGAATTATTAGCCCCCGGTAAAAAAAAATCCCCAATTTCTGTTTAACAGATAGATTTTTCCAACACATTTGGAAGCATAATAGTTTTAATACTAATTTCTAATAACTGATTTATTTTTAGTTTGCCATGATGACAGTAAATAATATTTTACAAGATATTTTTCACGATACAAATATTCAGCTTAAAGTGACATTTAAAGGCTTAACTAGGTTAATTGGGTTAAATATGCAAGTTTTTGTATAACAGTGGTTTGTTCTGCAGCCATTTAAAAAAATTATATAGACCTTAAAATGTTTATATATATATATATATATATATATATATATATATATATATATATATATATATATATATATATATATATATATATATATATATATATATATATATATATATATATATATATATATATATATATATATTAAAAGCTGCTTTTATTCTAGCTGAAATAAAACAAATAAGACTTTCTCCCAGTAAGAAAAGTATTATAGGAAATACTGTGAAAAATTCCTTGCTCTGTTAAACATCATATGGGAAATATTTGAAAAAGAATAAAATATTGGCAGGAGGGCTAACAATTTTGCATTATTCATACTTATGTATAAGCCTAAACATACAGTATACTTCAACGTACAGGCTAATACATATATAGACTACATATCAATTTATTGTTATGAATTATATGAATTTTATTAAAAATAAAATCATGCCACACATTGAATGGAACTGATGATTCATAAGCAAGCAAATATACATATTTAGGTGAACTGTTCATTTAAATAGCATTACCAATGCAACAGTCATGCAAGTTTTCTATCAAACAACCACTATCACTGATTCAAACCAATGAGCAAAGTTCAGTAGCTTAAGGCAAGACATAAATTCGTTCCTCATGAATCCCACACACCCCGCACGCTGCTTCACGTGATGAGCTACACGCTGCACATTTGACATGTGTCTGGTGATTCAGGCATGAGGAGTGGCTAATGTTCTTAAGAATCTGCCGCTGTGGTGCCGTTTTGGCCCTAATACCATAGAGAATGTCAGCCATCTTAAATACTTGATCTAATATGGCAGCTTTCATGGTCTTCTGAGCTGATTAGAGAGGAAAGGTGTATTAAGAAGCTTCTATTCTTAGCAAAAATGTCTCGTGACAAGTTCTGCTTCGGCTTGACCTATTACAAACAGACATTAAGTGAGCGCAAAATGAATTTATATTACCTTGGCTGATGTTTCAAACCAACCCAAAAAGCCAGCCTCCTTGCAGAAGTTGTCCATGAGTGAGGAATTGTTGGATCCGTCTTTCTTCTGGTCGCATTTATTGGCCAGAAGGACTGAAGGTATAGGATTGCCATTGGCCAGTTTCACCTTGGTGTCCAAATCATGCTTCCATTTTGAAACAGCCTCAAACGTGGAGCCTCGAGTAATGTCAAACACAATAAATGCACCCACTGCCTCTTTGTAGTAAACTCTGGTCATGTTTCCAAAGCGCTCCTGACCTAGACGTGGGACATAAAAAGAATAAGTTATTGTATCATTGTAACAACATCGCAAATATGTTACATATCATCTCAATCACTATGTTTCCATCCACTTATTTTAATGGCTTTTTGGATTATCATATAAAAATGCCTAAATGTAAAATACATATGCATAAAAACTTGCACACAACTGAGTAGGATAAACTTTTTATCTGGTAAGAAAAAGTGTGCACAAACTACAATGGGAACACATTTATCAAATAAATTCCAACATGTGCATCAAAAAAGCTGTGTGTGTTATATGAGGGATGCAGACAATGGAGTTGATGATCCAAATGGAGGTTTATTATGAAAATGGGCAGGCAACAGGGTCAAACAGGAACATGCAGGAAAATCCAGAAATGTGATTAAATAACAGGCGAATAGTCTAGAAACGTAAAGGTAAGAAACGTTAACAAACAGAACAAAAGAAGGCAAGGCAAAGGAAACGCATCATAATGTTACAAAACAGTTAAACAAGACTCAGCAACTAGTGTGTGTGTACTGCTTTTAAAATCCAAGTTATCAGTTCATAACGATCCTCCGGCTGTGTGTGTGCGTAATCAAGGTGAAAAAGGAACAGGTGTGAATCTGTGGTGTATGACAGGATATGTAGTTCTCCAGCGATCTGCATAGACTATTTCACTGGTGATTGTGACTGTGATTTTGTTTTAACAGATCATATGATGATAAAAATAATGGGATGGCATTAATATACAAACCAGCAGACTGACCACATTGTAAAATATCTGAAATGTTGTTTTGGTCATTCTAAGATGCCTTAGTCAAAGTCTGTCATTAAAATTGTTCAGGATTATTACCTCCTTTCTGAGCAGCTGTGTCTATTACTATTATTATATAATTAAAATGAATTAGAATGACCTGGGTATTACAATGCTGAGGTGATTTATGAGGACATACCTTGTGTGCTGGACTTTTTGTTATTCAAAACAGTTAAAAAGTATTGTTAACCCGGTCCTTTGACAATCTCAATGTGTGCCATTTCCTGTGAGGAATGGGTTTAGGAGTAGGTTAGGTTAAGGTGATATAATAAGCAGTTTGTAAGAGTATACTACATAGATTATGCCAATGAAGAGTCCTCATAAACACCACCAATACAAATACGTGTGTATATGTGTGGGCTCAGTTTATCAGAAAGTAAGGGTGTCACGATCCTCCAAATCCTCGATTTGATTACATTTTCGATTCTAAAGGCACGATTCGATTCGATTTTCGATTATGAATAATTAATTCATTAATGACCAATTAATTATTTGTAGCCTACCGTTCAAACTACCTGACCTGCGTGGTCTTTATTTTAGCCATAAACAAATCATACAGTAAATGAAAAAAGGCAAGTTACAAACATAATTACCACCTGTCAATCACTTTTTTCTGCGGGACTCGTGAATAGGCAGTGATCTGTGTCGTTATAATGGCATCGGTAAAAAAAGACGCACAACCAACAGGAACCAGCCAACAGTATCTGAGGTGTGCGCTAAAATGACTAATTACACGTGAGTGAAAGATTGAAGCAGTCCTCTGACTGCCTGGACCTGCTGTCTCGAGCGCATGGCTGTGAGTGCGTCTGTGTCTGTGTGGTCACGTGATGTGCATTTTCAGAGGTAGAGAGGAAGGAGGGCTGCTCAGAAATGCTACACGCCACTGTGGATGTCAAATCGTTGTCGTTCTAAAATGCCATTTAAAAACAAAGACAGTGTAAACAGGGCCTGAGTGTGTACTTTTCGCGAGCGGATTTGCAACGGGGGCGGGCGGAGGATCGCGATGCCGGTGTTGTATATCGGACGAACCGTACGTAATACGTACATAGCAGAGCTTGCAAAACTGTGTGTTTTTTTTTTTTTGTCGACAACACGAACGTTGTCAACATAACTCACTGGAAATCCAAAATGCTTACACACCGGCGACTTCATTGAAAGAGGAGAGGGTTTAAGTTCTGTCGACGGGTCTCCTGCTTCTGCCGTTCAACAAGCACTTCAACAAGCCTGTTTTTTTTCCGCTTGGCAAGCCAAGCTGACGTGACATGGGGGCGTGGCAGCATCGACGATTCTATTTTTTTATTCGATAATCGAAATCGAGTATAAATTTTGATCGATTTTGATTTAAAATCGAAATCGTGACACCCCTATCAGAAAGTGATGACTTTGTTTTCATTGACTCATTAAAACAGAAACAAAGCTTTACACGCAAATGTTTTGTGATATTCCAGTTTTACACGATCTGCATCTTTGGATGGAATTGTAACTAGACTTTCAAACAAATGTCCTTAAACAAACAGACGAGCTGAATCTGCTGAAGCAGAAGAACGAAACAAACAGGAGAAAAACATTTTTAAGAAATAATTCTTACAATAAAAAAATTATCCATCTTTTAAATTATGACCCGTTATTTAGTTTACATGGCATTTTGCTGAAACACAAGTTCATTTTCTTATTGGTTTCATGATTGTACATTTCAGTTAACCCCATAATATCTGGTTTTAATTTGTGCATGTTTTGTTTGTTTAAAACAGTGTTAGACTGACTTGTAATAGCTGAATATAGTCTTACTAAAATAAACTTGAAGTCGGCCTCCTTTGCTTTACATTTCCCATTATTCAGCCTTGTAATATCAAGCATGTCAAGCTCATTAATTTTTCTTTTTATCCATTTTGTTTCCCCTTGTAAACTTGAAGCATGCTAGATTTATTACAAACAAAAGCTAATGCAAAATCTAAACAGAGCATCCCTATCCTCTGTATTGTCACTTGTAACATTTTTTTTCAGGTTTCCGAAACCTAAATTCATTAAAAAGATCTGAAAGTTCTTCAAGACATCGAGACCATTACGCCACACACTTTTTATTATTCCCTGTTGGAGCTGGTTTGGTAATTAAAGTGATCAAATGTTACCTCTGTTGTTCTGTATTTTAATGTATTTTAGTGTTTTTAGGACTGTGGAAAATAAACAACTGTGACTACAAATGAATTGCACCAACAACACAGTTTAATAAACAACATTATTCAGTTTGGGCAACACATTTTTCAAATGACTGAGCCAATTCACTTAAATTAAGCCAACTGAATATTTCAGACCAAATGAATAGTTTTATACTTATTATTTTCATATTATTGAATTAATATATTCATGAGAATTATTTAGATTTTATCTGCTATAGTCAAACTGACAGACCTAATTGTAAAAGGAATTGCTGTATATGCCAGTGATTTAATGCAATGGAAATAAACCAAAATATGTTGACTTCCCATCGTCTCCCATTACCATGTTTTTGTCTGCCTTAATCTTTAAATTAAGTACATGTGGAAGCCTGCAATTACAGAAAATTGATTATTTAAAATTGATTATTTTTTTATTAAAAAAAAAAAAAAAAAAAACTTTTCAAAACATTCACTCTCTTTGTTCCTTCAGAATAAGCTGTCAACCACTACCCCGAACTGCAGAGAACTTCACATCTTTAAAAAAAAAAAAAAAAAAGTACCCAAGGCACACATGCCCACAGGGGCAAACAGTGATTTGGGGGCCCTAAGCAATTCCAGGTGTAGGACTCTAGCACTGAAACTCAAAACATGATTCTTATGATATTTTTTTTCTCTGTTTATTTTTTTGTTTGTTTGTTTGTTTGTTTTTTTAAATAAACTGGATATTAAACATATTTTAAGTGGAACCTTTATCTTCTTAATGTAAAATTAAACACAATAAAATCACAAATAAAAAAACAAGTTCACAAAAGATGTTAAATACAGTTGATTAACCATATTTGTAATAAGATTTTAATATTTGCATGTACAGTACCCAAGGAACGTTACACTTTTGAAAAGAAGTAGGCTAATAACGTTAAAATCTTACAACATAAATGTATAAGAAATATGACTAATATAGGCTTCTTGCTTGGCATTGGTCCCTAATTCCCCAGGGTGGGGGATTAGTTTTCAGGGAGAAATAACAAAACAGGCGTGTGGCGATGGGTCTGGAAGTGTTGGCAGGTATGACACAAATGTATGGTTTTGTTAGTTTTGGGGAGATTCCAATAAAATGTTAATATGTTGTATTTGAAACTACATAATATCAGTGCATTGTACAAAGTGGCTTTTTAACAAATATATTGAAATGTTGTATTTCATAAAGGCTTCTTCTACATTCAGCGACATTAATATGTTATGTTTTGAACTGCATAACATTTAGGGATGAAACAAGTATAGATTTTGATTGTACAATTATATAGTCTGAAGAATAATCATGGTTTAACGGTTATCACGTCCAATGTAAATTTAAGCTAAATAATAGCTAAGTATTAAATTTAACTCATGTTATCATCTGCATTCATACATACATAATCATTTTAATAATTTGTAATGATTCGTCTAACATATCTTTTGCTTACATCGCACTGAAAGCAACGATACAGTGTAAGAGGTTTTCTACGCTCCGCCTGCGCGTGCATACTGGCATATATTCTTACTTTGGAAATAAACTTGCGCACGGAAAAGACGTGATATGAGAATGGCCCACTGCTATAGTTAATCCAGTGTGCGTGCGTATTATTAGCCTTTGTGTATAAGCTCAGAACTTTAAACTAGCGCACAGGTGGCATAACTTTTAGTTGCAGCAGTTTTATTCCGTACAACAGAAATGCTGCATTGAGAAGCCTTTAAGATTGATTAATCGTGACAAATTAAAGCGTAGTTAATAATGAAATCGGCTAATCATTACATCCCTAATAACGATATCAGTGGATTAAACAAAAGGCCTTTTCTACAAACACATTCAAATGTTTTCAGCCGCCCGCAGCAATATAATTAATATCAGGTGACTCATGCTCTTCACAGCTTTTAACTGCAGCTTGTGCTGTATTGAAAAGACGCACGTCACTTCAAAACTATAACAGCCATTTTTCAACCGAACTAAATTTATTTTTGATGGTCACATTATTTGGAGGGCCAAAACAAATTGCCTCGGGGG